GCCCTGTAAATTTTAGTCCTCTTGGCCTTGCCAAACTCTGATCTCTGTTCAATTCAGGGAGACTAGTGGACTCACTTTGGGTTCCTCTTTCCTACCCTGGAAACTGCTTCCAGACAGCTAAGGTGGGGCAGTTTTAGGACTCACTTCATTTGTTTCCCTTCTGAGTGATCACAGTCCTCTTTCTCTTGTCCAGTGTCTGAAAACCATTGTCATGTATTTTGTTTGATTTTCTAGTTGTTTACGGGAGGTGAAATAAGTCTGGTCCTTGTTATTCTGTCATGGTCAGAAGTAGAAGGCACTTTGAGATCTGTAAGCAAAGTGGCTGTGCTCTGCTTCCGTACATACCCTTTCTCAGTTTCCACTGATTATATGTCCCTTCCACATATAGTATGCTTCAAGGAGTAGGTGTCTCAGAATTTTATCAGAGTTTTGGTTTTTATTTCTTACTGCTGTTGGTTGATTCCCCAAGGAAAAGGGGGAAATGTTGCTACCATATCCAGCCAGAAATCATGTCATTCTTCCAAATGGTATTGTGGATGTTATTTATAAATGTGTATCAAGAAAGCAGTCTCTCTGTATTCTAAATAAAATGTAGGATACGGGGAATATAATTTCTAGAATATAGGTGGTGTGGTCCGTCACTGTTTCCTGTGCCAATAAAAAATGTCACAAAAGTGTCTGGTTTTATTTTTCAGCTTTCCACTGTGGGCTTTTTGGTGGGATGGCTTGTTTCGGAAGATGAGTGACAGATTTCATTTAATTTTGTTTTTGGAGGTCTTCGGTTCTTTAAAAAATTTTTTATTATAGTAGTCCAGTGTCTAATTGGACAGCTTTTCTCCTTGCTGCATTTGTCTCTTAAACAGACATGTGTTTCTGCCTGCCTCATCACAACTACAAAGAGACTTCCTTTTATAAAGTTATTTCATTCAAAAAGAAAATGTCTTACAACCAGAAGGAATTTTTTCCCAATTAATAAAGAGTATGTAATGGAATTGCTGTATTTTTTTAACTTTAAATGTTATCATTTTTAAGGTATTATAAAGCATTATTTTCCCCCTCTAAAAGCCATTAGGAATGACATGCAGTTTTTAAATATAAACTCTCTAGACTCAGGAAAGAAAAAGATTTTGGTGTATTTTAATTTATTATGTGTTCTCTGTGTCTTTTCAGATTATAGGTATGGCTGAGGTTGTTATATTTATTTATAGATTTTATTTTTAATTTTGCAATTAAAACAAAAGATAATAGAACAAAAGACAGCTTTTATTTGTATTGTATCCTGAAATATTTTGTCTTAAACTCTTAAGTTTATGCTGTTAGTGGAGTCCAGTACAATAAGTCACATGTATAAAATGAAGAAATGAAGAGTTTAAAGCAAAGGAGTAGATTTTCTGAAACTGTACTGCCGAGAGTTAGGAACCTTAGGTTTTCTTTCCAACCTCACGTTGATAGTCTAATAATGTCATTCATTCAACTCCATCTATAACAAGTATGAGTTGATATCAATCACCACCAGACCTGTTGCCGTTGATTCCGACTCAGTGACCCTGTAGGACAGAGTAGAACTTTCCGTAGGGTTTCTAAGGCTGTTGTAATCTTTATGAAAGCAGACTGCCACATCTTTCTAACTGAGGAGCAGCTGGTGGCTTCAAACCACCGACCTTCCAGTTAGCAGCTTAACCACTGTGCCTCCAGGGTTCCTTCCAATCACTGTTAAGCTTCTTTAAGTCTAAACTTTTTAAGATTACATGCATCAGTCAGAGTTCTCCAGAGAAACAATAGAGGAGATATGTATATATCCACGTGTGTGTGTGATAGAGAGTGAATGAGACAGAGATTGATTGACTGAATATAAGGAATTGTCTTATGCTGTTATGGGGACTGACAAGTCTGAAATCTGCAGGGCAGGCTGGAAACTCAGGCAGGATTTCTTGCTAACAGTCTTACAGAATTAGAATTCTTCTTTGGGAAACCTCAGTTTTTGCCCTGAAGGCCTTCACTGAGTGGATGAAGCCCACCCACATTAACAAGACTAACGTCCTTAAAATCAACTGATTGTAAATGTTAATCCCATCTACAGAATCCTTTCAGAGCACCATCTAGACTAGTGTTTGACCCAACAGCTGGGCAGGATAGCCCAGTCGAGTTGACACGTTAAATTATCCATCGCATTATAGGTCCTGTTACTTCATTATAGGTCCTGCTTGTTTCATAAGTTTCCAGGGCTCTTTCAGCCTTTCAGTCATAGATGAAATTGAGCAAAAACTATGAAAACATTTAGATCATCCAGAGTAATTCCAGCATAATCATCAAGTAACTGTATCAAGTTAAAGTTTTTCTTTTTCAAAAGAAGAAGAAAATGGAAGGCTTAATGCTAAACACTGTGGTTGTTCAGTTTACTGACAAAATTATGTTTCCTCTAGGCCAGAGGTCAGCAAACTTTTTTCTGTAAGGGGCTGGACAGTGAATATTTTAGCTTTTTTGGGCCGTATACACTTTGTTATATATTCATTTCTTTTCCTTTTAAAATTAAACAGCCCTTTAAAAATGTGAAAACATTCCTAGCTCCTAGGCCGTACAAAAATAGCCATGGGCTGGATTTTGGCAGTAGCTTGCCAACCCCGTGCTTTGGATGATCCACTGGAAAATACTGCTTAAATTTGTTACACCCAGAAACCTAAATAGGATTCAAGCAGAGTATTATTTCTTGAGAGAAAGGGGATTTTGCATTGCATCAGATATGATCTGTGTTCTCTCTGTAGAAAAAAAGAGAAAGGTAATATACCTGTCTTGGTTATCTAGTGCTGCTGTAACAGAAATACCACAAGTGGGTGGCTTTAACAAACATAAATTTATTTTTGCACAGTTTAGGGGGCTAGAAGTTTCAGTTCAGGGCATGGCCTCTAGAGGAAGGCCGTGTCTCTGTCCGCTTTGGGATAGGGTCCTTGTCTCTTTTCTGTATTCCTAGGTTCCTTGGCAGACTTGTGACGTGTATAGTCCCCTCGTTTGTGCTTGCTTATTTGCTTAATCTGCTCATTTATATCTCCAGAGAGATTGATTGAAGACAGCACTCAACACTGATACTGCCTCATTAACATAACAAAGGAAAACATAGCCGAGTTAGGATTTACAGCATGTATTTTGGGGGGATGCAGTTCAATCCACAATGCCTTAGGTGAAACAGGGATGTGTGTATAAAATTTATATAAGCCACAGACTACTTTAAAGCTGAGTAAATATGTGACGTTCTTATACAACAGAAATTTTTAATTTAGAGACCTATAGACTTAATGGGATAGTCTTTTCAGGGGGAGTCTATGAGCCCTGGTGGCACAGTGGTTAAGTGCTGTGCTGTGAACTGAAAGGTCAACTGCTCTGAGAAAGATGTGGCAGTCTGCTTCCATAGAGATCACAGCCTTGGGAACCCTATGGGGCAGTTCTACTCCACCGTATAGGGTCACTTTGAGTTGGAATTGGCTCAACAGCATTGGGTTTGGTTTTTTGGTTTATGGGCTCTTTAAAATTATATGTAGAATTTTAGATATCTGTACTTTTCTGTGGTGTGAAGCCATAGCTTTCATCACATTCGCAAAGATTTACATGACCTCGAAGTTAGGTAATCTGCTGCTGAAGTTAACGGCGGTCAATGTAGGCAGCTTTGCAGGAGAGGTGACTGCTGAGGGAAGTGGGCAGGGGCAGACAGTAATGGAAATCACAGAAGGGTATCCTTCTTCGTCTAGAGATGGAGCAGCCACACACTTGTAGGTAGCACAGTTGCTGAGAGGTGTTCCCAGACCAGCAATATCAGAAGCAGATCTGAAGAGACCCGGAGTCTTGGGTTCAAGTCACAAAGCAGAGGACATGGCAGCAGCAGAGGAATCAGGCATAAAGCAGCTCAGACAGACTTCTACAAAGGGTTTATTTCTGGTCACTGCCAGTTTTTATGGGATTGAGCCATGTATGGGACAGTTCTTACCTGTTTGTCTTCTTCAAGGCACCTTGAGTTTTTTTTCATTGCTTCACATAACTGGAATTTTTAAAGAAAATGTAAAAGTCTTCCAGGGGAGTTACTCAGACTCTAGTCACAATAAACAGTTACTCAGATGGTTCTGCTGCTCCTTTAGCATGACAGTAGAACGAATAATTATTTGGTCATCTGTAACAAATTCCAAAGTATCGCTATATGATATTAAATTTGCTTTTTTTTTGAAAATTGATTTTCAGTCATTTTCTCCCAAAATAAAATTCTATTTTTAGTTAGTTTTAGAAAAACTGTTTTAGAGACGATTTGAGGATGTGTGAGTGTGCATGTGTGTACTCCACCCAACATGGGCTATTAGACAGTCATAGATTCTGTTTAGAGATACACATTCATTGGGGCCAAAATGAAAAGTTTTCTATATTAACAGTTAAATTTTATCTCATCATTGAGAATCTTAACCTAATAGATTTGACCTGTGATGTCATCCATTTTTCTGAGATTTTTTAAATCAATTCACTTGAATAGAATACTGTGTTAAAGACGTCATAGATTCACATCCCTTGTGGACTGTTAGTTTTGATAAACACTGAACCTAAAAGCAGCTAGCTATCTTACCAGTATGTGCAGCTATGTACAAGAAGTTAAGGATTTACTGAATAGTAAATACCAATCTATTGTGAGTGTAGAAAAGCATCTTCAGAGACAGTACGGGCTTGAGGTCAGACACATTGGGTTGGCACTTAGCTCTGTCACTTCCTAACTGTCTGCTCTTGGGCAGTGGAGCCATAGTGTGTTTACATGTAAAATGGCCAGGCATAGTGAGGACCTTTAAAAATACCGCCATGATAAATATGTCTAAGAAATGCGTACAAAAATTCATTCTTCCTTAAGAAACTAAGTATCATTTTAACAATATTTTAATTAATTGAAAATACTTAAAAATAGTTGCATTTATACTTGGTGTATTCTTTTTTAAAGAATTGTTTCTGTAAATAATAATACTGCTTTTTCTCAAAAGGCATGGCTTTGGGAAGAAGACAGGAATCTGAGATGTGGCGTGAGGAAATATGGAGAGGGAAACTGGACTAAAATACTGTTACATTATAAATTCAACAACCGCACAAGCGTCATGTTAAAAGACAGATGGAGGACTATGAAGAAACTAAAACTGATTTGCTCAGACAGTGAAGAAGACTGAATATGTTCGTAAAAGCTTGATAAAAGGAGGACCGTTAAATATTTTGATCACTGCATTTGTTGTGACTTTACTGGTCACTGTTGTATCTTAAAATTCTTATTTAAAGTATTATAGTATTTTTCTGTGAAACCAAGTCATTTAATTCATTTAAGGATTGTGCTACTACAGTAAAATTATATACCGTCATTATATTTTTAAGAATCTTTTTACTTTGATGAAATGTAAAGTTGTGAACCCTGCCTCACTCAATGTCCACTCCCAAATCCTGCTCCAATAAAAAAATGAACGAAAACCTGACAAGAGAAAAAAATATTTCTGTTAACCTATTCTGTTTCTGTAGACTGACCTCAAGCCCATAATACACACATAAAAATGAACTTTCCCAGTCACTGACATAGAGGTCACGACTTGATTTATGGCCTTAATATGCTCTTTACCAAGACATTTGTTTTATAGAATGATAAATGTACAAAGTAATATTAGTTATACCAAGTTTTCATATAAAGAGAAAGATTTGAAAATAATAATGCCCGTAGGAGAAAATTTGTACTCTTGGCAACACACGCTTCATGTCGTATTAGTACCTTTGACTTTTGTTCTCATGTTGAACAAAAAAGGTTTTGAATAAAGCTGCTTTATAACCTGATGCCATAAACCAGGTTCTCGATATTTTCATTATTATACTAATATCGGGCTTATATGTTCGTCTGTAAATGCTTAAATTGGTATTAACCATGATCATTTTAACATCTGTGGCAATGCAGTATCACTGTATTCACAAGCTCTTAGTGAAGGAGCATTTGGAGCCGAGCACGGACCAGACATTTCTAATGGCATGATCACCAGGCGTTTATTACTCACAGACTAAACAGGACAGGGCTGAGAAGAACAGTGCACGTCATCAGCCTAGGTTCCCCAAAGTTAGACTCCCGTCCACAGGGTTAGATTGCATCCAAGCATGCCCCAGTTCACGTCTTGGGGGGGGAACGCCTAAGTTCTTCTCTCCTGCCTAGTATTAAATACTAATCGGTTAGCCATGTCTACCTGCCAATAGCATGTTTAGAGACTAGGGGAAGGGGCAATAAGAGGGGGCAATAAAAGGTAAAAGGGCATAATAAAAGTGGAAGGCCCCCTGTAGGCAGTGGACATTATTTATTGCCCCATTTCCCAACATATATAACTGTTATATCACAGTTTTTGCTTTAATCAATGACCTAGCTTCACCTCTGCTCATTTGGCTTTCTCTTCTGTTCTCAGAGTTACCTCTTGGCCATCTGCTTTTCTCCTGAAATTCTGTGGCCATACTTTCTGCTGTCTTTTTCGCTCTCAATTTTCTCATGGCTATATGTGTTTGCCTTTTGAAAATCCTTAACTGTCATTTTGCTGGGAATTGGGGGACAAAGGAGGTAACTGTGTTGAGCCTGTCATATTTAACTGAAAGAAACATACTATTTAGAACCCTCTATAAAGACTTCTGAGGAACCCTGGTGTTGCAGTGTTTAAAACATTCAGCTGCTAACCAAAAGGTCGGTGGTTCGAACCTACCAGTAGCTCTGCAGAAGAAAGATGCGGCAATCTGCTTCCATAAAGACTGCAGCCTTGGAAACCCTATGGGGCAGTTCTACTCTGACACACATGGGATTGCCATGAGTCGGAATTGACTCAACGGCAACTTTTTTTTGTTTAATAAGTCTTCTGAATCCCGCATCTCTGAATTTGTCTCTTGCCTTCATACTTGATGAGTACTTGGCTGGCGCAGAATGCTAGTTTAAAAATTCTTTCTTGTAGAACTTGGAGACGTTATTGTATCAGACTTCAGACATCCACTCATGGTGATGAAAAGACTGCTGTCTTCTAGGAAGTTTGTTCCTTTGTAGGTGATCTGTTTTTCTCTCTAAGCTTTTCTGGTCTTTTCTTTGTCCTTGCTTTGAAATGTCACAAATCCGTCTTTAGGGTTGGGAAGTTCTTTATTCATCTTGTGCTCAGTGGGACCGCCTCACCCCAGAAACAATGGCTCTCACCTTGAATTTCAGCTTCTTTACATCTTTGAAAGGACAGGGCTCCCTCCACTCTCATTTATCTAGCAACAAAATCCCATTTGCTTTCAATCTTCAAAACCTTCAAAATCTCTGGGCAGTGCACCCCTCTGCTTTCTCAACTATTCTATGAATGTATCACTTTGTATGGATTTTCTAATCTCAATGGGATTTTGGGATGGGTAGAGGGTACACGTGTATCCATCTGCCACCTTGACCTACAAGACTCACTTTTAATATGCTTACCTTGCATGGAATGCCTTACCTCATCTGGCTCATCAAGCAACATGCCTTTTAATAGCATATCCTGAAACCCAAATGCAGTATATCTGTTATTGATCAGCTTAGAGGAGAAAAGATGAGATGGTAGTCTGAAAATGATGTTTCTTCCCTGGATATGTAAATTCTTATTCCTCATAATATCTAGGACTTTATTCTTTAACTTCCAAAGTTATTTGTATGGATCCTTGCTAGAAGATTCTAACACGGCAGAAACCATATTTATTTTGCATCATTTTCATACATGCGTGGCCAGAAAAGATGACTGACTAAAATTTTTATGTCAGAATAGTGTTAAACTACTGCTGTTTATGCTTAACTACCACCAATCGTCCGTCAGTTTGTCATACTGTGGTGGCTTGTGTATTTCTGTGATGCTGGAAGCTATGCCACCAGTATTTCAAATACCAGCAGGGTCACCCATGGTGGACAGACATCAGCAGAGCTTCCAGACTAAGACAAACTTGGAAGAAGGACCTGGCGATCTACTTCTGAAAAAATTGGCCAGTGAAAACCTTATGGATAGCAGAACATTGTCTGATATAGTGCCAGAAGATGAGCCTCTCAGGTTGGAAGGCACTTAAAATATGACGGGAAGAGCTGCCTCCTCAAAGTAGACTCGAAGGATGTGGATGGAGTCAAGCTTTTGGGACCTTCATTTTCCTGATGTGGCACGACTCGAAATGAGAAGAAACAGCTGCAAACATCCATTAATAATCAGAATGTGGAATGTACGAAGTATGAATCAAGGAAAATTGGAAGTCATCAAAAATGAAATGAAATGCTTAAAGATCCTAGGCAGTAGTGAGCTGAAATGGACGGGTATTGGCCATTTTGGATCAGACAATCATATGGTCTGCTATGTTGGGAATAATAAAGAGGAACGGCATTGCAATCATAGTCAAAAAGAACATTTCAAGATCTATCCTGAAGTACAACGTTGTCAGTGATAGGATAATATCCATACGCCTACAAAGAAGACCAGTTAATACAGCCATTGTTCAAATTTACGCACCAACCACTAATGCCAAAGATGGAAGAAATTGAAATTTTAACCAACTTCTGCAGTCTGAAATTGATCAAACATGCAGTCAAGATGCATCGATAATTACTGGTGATTGGAATGCAAAATTTGGAAACAGAAGGATCTGTAGTTGGAAAATATTGCCTAGGAGAGAGAAAGGACTTTGAAGAGCGCATGATAGAATTTTGCTTTGCAAGACCAACAACTTATTCATTGCAAATACTTTTTCAACAACATAAATGGCAACTATGCACGTGGACTTCACTGAATGGAATACACAGGAATCGAATCAACTGCACCTGTGGAAAGAGATGACAGAGAAGTTCAGTATCAGGAGAAAGAACAAGGCCAGGGGTTGACTGCAGAACAGACCATCAATTGCTCATATGCAAGTTCAAGTTGAAGCTGAAGAAAATTAAAACAAGCCCACGAGAGCCAAAGAACAAACTTGAGTATATTCCACCTGAATTTGGAGACCATCTCAAGAATAGATTTGATTCATTGAATGCTGATGATTGAAGACAGACAAGTTGTGGGATGACATCAAGGACATCATACATGAAGAAAGCAAAAGGTCACTAAAAAGACAGGAAAGAAAAGACCAAAATGGATGTCAGAAGAGATTCTGAAACTTGCTCTTGAACATAGAGTAGATAAAGCAAAGGAAGAAAAGATGAAGTAAAAGAGCTATGCAGAAGATTTCAAAGATTTGCTGGAGAAGACAAAGTAAAGTATTATAATGAAATGTGCAAAGACCTGGAGTTAGAAAACCAAAAGGGAAAAACATGCTCTGTATTTCTCAAGCTGAAAGAACTGAAGAAAACAAGCCTCAAGTTGAAATTTTGAAGAATTCTATGGGCAAAAAAAATTGAACGATGCAGGAAGCATCAGAAGAAGATGGAAGGAATACACAGTCACTGTACCAAAAACAATTGATTGACATTCAGCCATTTCAGGAGACAGCATATGAACAAGAGCCAATGGTATTGAAGGAAGAAGTCCAAGCTGCATTGAAGGCATTGGCGAAAAACAAGTCTCCAGGAATTGACAGAGTACGAATTGAGATGTTTCAACAAAAGGATGCAACACTGGAGGTGCTTGCTCATCTACATCAAGAAATTTGGAAGATAGCTACCTTGCCAACCAACCGGAAAAGATCCATATTTGTTCTCATTCCAAAGAAAGATGATCCAGTGGAATACAGAAATTATCAAACATATCATTAATATCACACACAAATAAAATTATGCTGAAGATAATTCAAAAATGGTTGTAGCAGTACATCAACAGAAAACTGCCAGAAATTTAAGCTGGATTCAGAGGTGGATGTAGAATGAGAGATATCATTGCTGATATCGGTTGGATCTTGGCTGAAAGCAGAGAGTACCAGAAAGATGTTTACCTGTGTTTTATTGACTATGCAAAGGCGTTCAACTGTGAGGATCATAACAAATTATGGATAACGTTGAGAAGAATGGGAATTCCAGAACACTTAATTGTGTTCATGTGGAACATGTACATAGACCAAGAGGCAGTCGTTCGAACAGAACAAGGGGATACTTCGTGGTTTAAAGTCAGGAAACAACAACAACATGCTTAACTCGGTTGTTGCTGTTAGTTGCCATTGAGTCAATTCCAACTCATGGCAACTCATGTGCTGAGTAGAACTGCTCCATAGGGTTTTCAAGGCTGTGAGCTTTGGGAAGCAGATGGACAGGCCTGTCTTCCGAGGTGCCTCTGGGTGGGTTTGAAATGCCAATCTTTTGACTAGTAGTCGAGTGCTTAACTGTTTGCAGCACCCAGGGACTCCTATGCTTAACTAAAACATTCTCTAATAAAAATGTCCAAAGCAAGACCCTAAAAAGAGTGTTGTTGTTAGGTGCAGTTGAGTCAGTTCCAACTCAAAGGGACCCTATGTACAATAGAACGAAACACTGCTCAGTCCTGCAGCACCCTCACAATTGTTTTCATGCTTGAGCCCATTGTTGCAGCCACTGTGTCAATCCATCTCGCTGAGGTCTTCCTCTTTTTCGCTGACCCTCTGCTTTACCAAGCATGATGTCCTTCTCCAGGGATTGTTCCTTCCTGATTACATGTCCAAAGTATGTGAGACAAAGTGTCACCATCCTTGCTTCTAGGGAGCATTCTGGCTGTACTTCTTCCAAGACAGATTTGTTTGTTCTTCTGGCCTGTTGCTGTTGAGTCGACTCCGATTCATAGCAACCCTATAGGACACAGTAGAACTGCCCCATAGGGTTGCCAAGGAGCTGCTGGTAGATTTGAACTGCCAGCCTTTTGGTTAGCAGCTGTAGCTCTTAACCACTGCACCACCAGGGCTCCGATGTTCTTCTGGCAGTCTATGATATATTCAATATTCTTCCCCAACACCATAATGTAAAGATATCAATTTTTCTTCGGTCTTCCTTATTCATTGTCCAGCTTTCACATGCATATGAGGAGATTGAAAACACAATGGGTTGGGTCTGGCACAGCTTAGTCCTTAAAGTGATATCTCTGCTTTTTAACATTTTAAAGAGGTCTTTTGCAGCAGATTTGCCAGTGCAGTGCATCGTTTGATTTCTCAACTGCTGCTTCCATGGGCATTGATTGTGGATCCAAGTAAAGTGAAATCCTTAACAACTTCAATCTTTTCTCCATTTATCATGGTGTTACTTATTGGTCCAGTTGTGAGAGTTTTTGTTTTCTTTATATTGAGATGTAATCCGTACTGAAGGCTGTGGTCTTTGATCTTCATCAGGAAGTGTTTCGAGTTCTCTTCACTTTCAGCAAGCAAGGTTGTGTCATCTGTATAACCCAGGTTGTTAATGAGTCTTTCTCCAATCCTGATGCCCCCCGCCCCCATTCTTCTTCATATAGTCCAGCTTCTTGGATTATTTGCTCACCATACAGATTGAATAAGTATGGTGAAAGGATACAACCCTGACACACACCTGTCTTGACTTTAAACCACACAGTATCCCCTTGTTCTGTTTGAATGACTGCCTCTTGGTCGAAGTAAGAGTGTAGTGTGATTATATTTCATCTTGTTCCTTTTGTACTCTTTTTCCTTCCCCTTCTCTTTTTTTTACCTTACTCTTCTTAATGATCACTGTCCCTAATTCTTTTCCCCTTCTTTCCTGGGTGGGTATATATCTATATTTTTGTTCAAATTACTTTCCAGAGGCATTTTTGAAAACCAGTCTATAAGTAATTCTAGAGTCAGTAAATCATTGGTGGAGTGTCTGCAAAAAGGACCCTAACTCTGACGCACTAATTAAAAAAGAATGCCTCGGAGGTCTTAAATACTTTGATGTTTAACTTTTAAAATAAAAACTTTTTATTCATTAATCACTTAGGACTACATATTTCAGTTCTAAACTGTTTCCTTGGGCTTTGCTAGAATTAATGAGCTTTTCAAAAAACATTGTTTAATATTACTTCTAGCCTATGAAATTCTTCTCAAGAATAGAAGTAACAAAAGTATAACTTCAATATGAAAGTAATTAGTGGCCATGAACGAAAGATTAAATAAATGCATAAGGTGAAAAACTGATTTTATACAACTCAAATATGTTAAATGTTATTGTACATATTGGAACCATAAATATATCATTGCTTTATTGCTGTTAGTCACTGTACCTATATGTATCAATTCTGAAGCTTTTTGTTCTGTTTTGGTAAATTTTATTCATTCTCTGACAAGTCCAGGAAATTTAGGTTATTTTCTAGTCAAATAAAGCAATTTTAAAAATGTAAACAAAAATTTTATTTACTGGTATACAAATCTTAAGTAATATTAAAAGTTACCCAGGAATTTCTTGTCTTCACAAATCTCAATTTATAAATGTTAGAAATAGCCTTAAAATATTAATGCTGGACTTTTTTAAAGTTCCCAGTCTTGACGAGACTCAAATTTTTTATCAGTTTTTTGAGGAATTACAAAAACAGTGTTGACATTTAAATGGTTATATAGTCAGAAACATTGATACTCACAGCATTAAATATTGGGAACGTTTCCATCCCTATTAAGCTTGTCATGGGCATTCTGTCATTACATGATAAGTACCAAGAAATATGTAATTTAGTAATAATTTTTTAGTGAATATTATTTTATGCAATTAAAACCAAATTTCATATAGTTTAAATCTTGAGGCTCAACCCTCCAAGAAAAATATTCTGAATTTAAAATTTGTTTTAAAAATTCAGAGGACTTCACTTTCACAGCCCAGTTTTTGGTGAGGTCAGGCTCTCCATGAAAGCTGAATCCTGGAAGAGGAGCTGAGATGGGGCTCTGCAGCTCACCTGCAGAACGGCTCATCACTGCAGATCCTCTGATTCACTGACTTTCCATCCACACCATAAGGAGACTAAGAAGTCTCTGTGGGTGACAGATCATAATATTTGTAACCAAATTCATGCCTCTATATCTATGCGTCTGTCTTCTACCCCTGGCTCTCAGGAACTAAGACCCAACACAACAAAATCAATGCTGTGGAATAAAACGTACCCGAAGTTGGGCTCTGAAAGATTGTTTTAGTCAACTCCAGGCTTGATAGCCTCAGAAAGAATCTTAGAGGCAGATGATAGTAGAATTTTCACAATCAAGCAATCATTTCATTCATTAGGTCCAAAATTTCTCTCTTGAAAATAAGATTTAAAAGAACTCCTATTGACCAAGAATGAATGACCTTTTCAACTAACCAAAGAAAATTGTTTCTTTAAAAAAAAAAAAGTATTTTTAGAAAAGCTGCTCGTTTTTCATTACAAAATGCTTACTGAAATCTTAAACTTGTCCTGTGGAAAATCATTTGTGACAGTTTGCTTGACATTATTTATTCAGAACTTATGGACTAACATATGCAAATTATATGCGTGAGAGTGTACACATATCTATATACATTTTTTTAAAGTAAGAAGCATTTAAGAGATTACAGAATAGAAGGAAAGAATGCGAGATCCAAAGCATGGATACCCTTAAACGACAACTTACCAATAAATGGATCATGTTGTGGTCATTGTAGTGCAACAAGCCATGTATTCTGTATGTCATGGCTCACCTGTTGAATGACTTCAAAATGGAAGGTCAAATATATAAGACCAAAGACGCTTTTAGGGTAGGTCCCCAAATTAGTAAAAATAAAAATAAAGGTACAGTGTTTCTTGAGAAGTGGTCCCTAAATTTTCTTTCTCTACTTCAGAGGGTAACCATGACATGTGTTCAGGGACTTTGGCCAGTTTTTGATGGTTTAAGAAGCATTGAATTTGACTTGATAATATTTAACATGTTTACAAACACTTTTGGAAGTATGTGCTTCACAGTCTATATAAAAATAAAGCTGTGGACAGCTGGACAAGAACACTGATCAACTCGCCGAACTTTTTTCCAAGTTCCTTGACATCGAGGATTCCCAATGGCTTGCCAATGGAGAGTTTGATTTCTGAAATGATATTTTGAAAATGTTAGCTATACTAAAAGCAAACCTAAGGAAATTTGAATTTCAAGTGCATTATAAATTGACTTTTTTTTTTTTAAAGACAATGATCACACACTGAGTTTTCCTTCTTGGGTTACAAGGAGCAGAAGTTCGTTTGGGTTCTGTTAAAAACTAGTTGCTGTCAAGTCAGCTATGATTCATGCAACCCCATGTGTGTCAGAGTAGAACTGTGCTCCATAGGGTTTTTCAATGGCCGTTTTTTTTGAAAGTAGATAGTCAGCCCTTTCTTCTGAGGCTCCTCTGGGTTGAATCATACCTTCAGCCTTTGGGTTAGCAGCCAACCATGTTAACCATTTGTATCACCCAGGTACTTCAAGGATAAGGGGAATAGGATAGAATTGAGGGTATTCTGTGTGAATGATTAACGTATGTAGATGGTAGAGCACATGTGAAGAAAAGCATAAAGCTGTGGTAATCTTCTTAACTCTCAAAACAGTCACTGTTTTTTTTTTTTTTTTTTTTTGCTGTTAATCATACTGCTTTACGAGATCCCTTCCATTTTTGTCTTAAGGTGATTGCTTAGGACTTTTATTTAACTTTTCAGGTCTCTTCCTCTCCCCCTGGGCCATAGACTCATGAAAGTAAGAAAAATGTTTTCCCTCTGCCCCTTAAATGTGCACATAGCGACTAAACCCTTGTCCATCACTTGACACTTCAAAAAATGTTCCTATATAGCAAGTTCTGCTATCTGGTGTCACGTGAGGTTTGAAGTTACAGTATGTGTTCCTCCAACTTGATGTGCATATATGAAGTGTTACAAAAAGGAAAATGGCTGGCTATTTATGTATGTTTAAATTAAAGGGGTCTGAACCAAAGGATCTCTCGTAATCAATCCTTTCCAACTCTTTGATTCCATAATGGAAAAAAAAAAAAAAAAAAAAACCGGAGAAGTAGAAGGAGCAAAGCCAAATTGTTAAAAATGTTATTTGTAAGGTCACTGGTACCTCAGCCAGGAGTTAAGGTACTTTATGGGCACAAATTAAATTATAAATTCATTTAAAGTCAAAATATGGATGAGGTATTCAGAAAAATATTAAATCTAAATATTAAGTTTCTGCTTGATATGAGTTCCTTACCCGTTTTACTGTTCATACAGTGTACTCAATACAGAGGCCTTTAGGCACAAGTGACTAATAAACACAAATTCAAGTTATTAAATATTAAAACACACTGTGGGGATAATGATTAACTGGAAAGGTCCGTAGTGGACTTTTTAATCTGCATTTTTACCAGTTCCACCTGACATATTTAAAACCTTAACCCTTATGACCTAAATTGGTCTTTGTCCAACAGCTTCCCAGCATGAAGTCTACTCTTAGCGACTAGTACTGTTATTCAATTTAACTGATAAGTCAGTTACAGGACTGAGACAGACTTGAAGGGAGGTAAAATGGTTTCCGGGTCAACTCTTTTGGAAACCTACAGGTTGCTGGGTTTATGTCCCTGCAGAGCAGAGCCTGGCACTATCTCAGTCATGGTTTTATGGCCACTCCATGGAGCAGCGGGTCTCAGACTTTGCTGTGGGAATCATCTGGGCCGAGGTCTGCAAACTACGGCCCACGGGCCAAGCCAGCTTCACCATCTGCTTTTGTATGAGCTGAGAGCTGGAAATGGTTTATATATTTTTAAAGGGTTGGAAAAAAAATTAAGAAGAAGACTATTTCATGTACATTAAAATGATATGAAATGCAAATTTTAGCATCATGAAGTTTTATGGGAACAAAGTCAGGCTCATTGATTTCTATAGTATCTGTAGATGCTTTCATGCTGCAGTGGCAGAGGTAAGCAGCTGTGACAGACCATTGGCCTGCAAAGCCAACCCTGACCTAAGAGATTGTTAAAAATCTACTCCCAAAGATTCTGATTCAAGTTGGTCTGAAGTGGGGCTCAGGAATCTAGATTTTAAACCACCGTCCCCCGAGATTCTGATTCAAGTAGTCTTCAGAACTGTAATTTGGAACATCAGGTTTTGGGTGGTCATTTGGGAGCCAGGTCTAAACTGAAATAACCAAATTGATCTCTGGTGTATGGAGCATCTGAGTCCCATCGTCTGAACGGGAGCCCTGGAGTCTGGAATTACTCAACAGAAGATTCGCCTCACTTACTGTTTGACTTCCTGAATAATGCTTTAACATGTTACATACTGGTCAGCTGTTCTGGGCCTGGAGAGGACAGATCTCTAAGAATGAGTCACAAGAAAAGTTCTTCAGTCAATTTCCCTCCCTTACCCATCAGAGTCCAGGCCATCTCCGGAACAACGAAGGCTCACAGAGTTCATAGCTGGAGGCTGACAATCTACACACACCGTGTATCCCTCTCGGAGATACTGCATCCATCGAGTCAGAGGCCGGTTCTCCATCGCACAGTGATGAGTCAATGACTCTGTCTTGAACTCCATACAATATCTAGAGAAAAGGTAAGTAATAATTTAACTCACTGTCATTTGAGGGCCTATACTGTAGAACCAGAGACCTGGTGGTTGAAAGCTTGGTTAGCAATCAAAGGGTCGGCAGTTGGAATCCACCAGCCGCTCCTTGGAAGCCCTGTTGGGCAGTTCTACACTGTCCTATAGAGTTGCTATGAGTCAGAAGTGACTTAATAGCAACCTGTTTGGTTTTTGGTTTTTACTGGAGAACCACCACTCATGTGTCAGTTTGTTGTACTGTGGTGGCTTGTATGTTGCTAGGATGCTGGGAGCTATGCCACCAGTATTCCAAACACCAGCAGGATCACCCATGGTGGACGGATTTCAGTGGAGCTTCCAGACTAAGACACACTAGGAGAAAAGCCTGGCAGTCTACTTCTGAAAATTAACCAGTGAAAACCTTATGGATCACAACATGTCTAAGGACATGTCATCAGGAGGGATCAATCGCTGGAGGAGGATATTGTGTTTGGTGAAGCAGAGAGACGGAGGGCAAAGGAGACCTTTGGTGAGATGGATCGAGATGATAGCTGCAATGATGGACTCGAACATGCTCGCGATTGTGATGATGCCAAACTGAGCAACATCTCATTCTGTTGTACATGAGGTCACTGTGAGTTGAAATCGACTTGATGGCAGCTATGTATCTATTTACACAGTAGCAAGTCTTAGAAAGCCTGTTGTCCCCAAGGTCATTTGGCCGACTAGAGAAGGTAGTGGAATGCCTCTTCACAGAATACCTTGTAAAGTCTCTCATCCACTGAATTATGATTGACACCTACAATGATTTTTTTATCTCTTCTTCAATCCGTGCTTGAATCATTTAGTCAACATGATAAATTTGCAGAAATTTGGATATCCTGTATCCTGACTAAATTGTGTATAAAAGCATGTTTCAGTGGCAAAATAGCCCTTGCTTATATTTTAAAGAACTAGATAATTTGAACAAACAATGGCCTGAGAACCCTTAGGTCTGAGCCACAGGAGGAAGGCTGGTCCTTGGCACCTACCCCCCGTCCCACCCCCAGTGCTGGTCTGCCCCACACATATTCCCAGGGCCTTACCCACACTCCCCACCCAGCCCACATGCATGATCTGGGTAATGATAATGAGCTGTGACTTGAAGTCAAGCATCAAAGTCATATGAGCATCCCAGGTAAAAGCAGAAATGAGAAGCTGAGACACGTTTTCTGTGGCAGAAGTTAGTGTCACCTTCTACTGAGCTGTGAGAAACTCTAACATTCTGGGTGTGACTAAACTCTGAAGGCCTCCAGAGATCATTCAGACATGGGTGAAAATTTTAGCGTTTTCGACTTTAGAGTAACAAATTTTACAATTCTCTGGGGTAACAAAACAGGGAAAAATCCTTGAATGTTGCAGAAGACACAGGTTGTACCTTTGGTTCTAACTGAGCTACAATGGACTGTTACCCCATAAGAATGATAAGCTGTGACAGGTTAAATGCAAAGTGTTCGGAGAGTCTGCTTCAAAGAATACCTTTAACAATGGTACCAGTACCGGTTGCCATGGAGTCGATTCTGACTCCTGGTGACCCAGTGTGTCAGAGTAGAACTGGGCTCCTTAGTGTTTTCAAAGGCTGAGTTTTCAGAAGTAGAGAGAGAGTCAGGCCTTCATTTTGAGGTGCCTTTGGGTGGACTGGAACTTCCAACCTTTTGGTTAGCAGCTGACCACGTAAACCATTTATACCACCCAGTAACAATGGTAGGTGCCATTTATTAGGTTAAAAAAAAAAAAACCCTTCACCGTCGAGTTGATTCCAACTCCTAATGACCCTACAGGACAGAGGAGAACTGCCCCATAGGGTTTCCAAGGCTGTAATCTTTATAGAAGCAGACTGCCACATCATTCTCCTTCAAAGCAGTTGGTGGGTTCGGACCACCGACCTTTAGGTTAGCAGCCAAGTGCTGAAACACTGTGCCACCAAGGCTCCTTATTTATTAGGTATCTGTAGGTGTTGACGGAGCCATGGTGGTGCAGTGGTTAAGTGTTCAGCTGCTCCTTGGAAATCCTATGGGGCAGTTCTACTCTGTCCTGTAGGGTCGCTATGAGCCAGAATTGATTCGATGGTAACAGGTTTGGTTTTTTTGTTTTTTAGGTACTAGCATAGGAAATTTTATGATGATGCTTGAATCAACTTCAGAAATCTCCTCTTCAATAATATTTTTTCATTAAATTCTCACAACAAACCCATGTGTTAGATATTAATATCCTCATTTTTTGAAGAAGAAAAGCTGAGGTGGAACAATTTACCCAAGGTTAGTGGGGGACAGTGTGGGGATCTGAACTGCATCAGTCTGCCGTTGCTTATCTGATAGCAGAAGACTGGACTGCAGGTGAGCATGGGGGTTCCTACCAGCCTGTGCCATTAGGTTTTGATAAGAAATCCTCAGCACTGATATGTGCTCCACTTTAAAACACCAAACAGAGGTGATGCTGGAGTTGGTGGTCCCACAAAGACTGCAAGAGGAACATCCTTAACATGATTGCTAAATGGATTTCGTCTCATTTTTATATAGCACCTGGGTTTTCTTCTTGGAGATGAGATCTCATAGACAGATAAATCTTTGCAGTCCCACAAAAACAGAGCGAAGACAAGTTATTTTCCCAGCTCTGTGATGAGAAGTCGTGTCTTATCCAAAGTCAAGGAAAAGTAACAGAGGAAAACGTCATCAAACCAAATTGACTCATTTGCACTGACCTGACCACACAATTAGAAACACATAATTCAAAAAAACAAGTTACCCAGGATCCTGTGTGTCTGTAGACCACTGTGGAGAAGCGACTTGTCTTGTTCTCTCCTTGTTGAATGCAGAGGTAGTTATGAAGGCAGGGACTAGAAAAGGGAGAATTACACTGAACACATGGAGACCAAGTACTCACAGCAACGTTTCCCAAAGTTGGTTACACACCTACAGGAAGTCCTCCATTTCTAAGTCCGAAGGTCTGTGGCAGGACATCAAAGAGGGGAAGGAGGCTAAGCTACAGTGTCCAGAGAACCAAATTTGATGAAGGTGTGTGTGCATGCAGATGATGGAGAAGGGAACTGCAGGCTTTTGACAAGCACATTTGTCTCCAGTAATTAAACTTGTGTGAAAAGGAAGCAGAGGAAACAGAAGAAAAACCAAGAAGAAAAAGAGAGAGAGAAAATGAGGAAAAAAGTGAGGTGATGGAGGTCACGAAGAGAAAGAGGGAAGGATATAAAGCAATGACAGAAAGTGAGATAAAGAGAAGAAAGGGGGAAGCTAACAAGAAGAACAAAGTAAAAGAATAGAAGAGAGCAAGAGAATGAAGAAAAGAGAGACCAAGAAGAAAAAGGGGATGGAAGGAGAAAGAAGAGACAACCAGAGAAAGAGGAGATGGGGACAGCAAAGAACAGAAGAAGCAAATGAAGGAGGGGTGTTCTCCAAGCCTTCTGGGAACCACAGTCTAGAAGCTTCGCCCACCATACAGAACTGGGGATGAGACTGCCCAGTGCCCACCAGGCACAGCCTTTTCCCCATGCCAACCTCAGGGAAAGCAAGTCACAAGTGGTTCTCTCCTGCTTCCACTCCCCTCCCCATGCTACCCAACTCTGATGGGCTGAGTAGGAGAAAAGGAAAGGAGCCAGGCAGTCTTTTTTCCCACCTCTGCTCTCTCTAATTTTATTTTGTTTGCCTGTCTCCTCCCTACTTCATCCCTGAGTCTGGGGAGGCATCTGTTACTACAGCGCCTGGAGTACCATCTTGATCCTACTCTGCTGTCAACTCGAGGAAGGCAGGATTTTGCCTTGTCCATCACTGTACCCCTCACACATTTACACAAAAATGTTTGTGCAGTGGATGATGGGTCACTATGTGAATAAATGAAGTCATGGGGGGCCACCAACGTGCACAGGTCCTACTTCCCTGTGGTCTTCTGTTCCTATACTGAGCCCGGTAACTGAGATGGCTCAACAATCACTCCCATCTTTTGTTTCAGAAACTGAACGATCCCACCAAGGGTAGACACAAGCTCGTGCTGGCTTGTGAGACCCCAAAGTCATCATCAGTGTGAGCAAAATGGCAGGAGGATACTGGTTGCAAAGTCGATGCTTTAAGCCTACATTTTCAACTTACCTAGCTCCTTATTGCCCAAGGAAACCCTAGTGGTGTAGTGGTTAAGTGCTATGGCTGCTAACCAAAAGGTCAGCAGTTCAAATCCACCAGGCGCTCCTTGGAAACTCTTTGGGGCAGTTCTACTCTATCCTATAGAGTTGCTATGAGTTGGAATCAACTTGACAGCAATGGGTTTGGTTTTTTTTTGTTTTTATTGCCAAAAGATGGCAGGCCGTAATTCTTGTTTAATGAGAAGTCATTTTCATATTACTAAGGAATATAAGAGAAGACTGGCCTAATATCAGCTAGCCACATGCTCCTAAGGGTTGCAGATGAAGTTCTTGTCTCATGGGTTTGGTGCCCAGACTCTCTAGTGTGAACATTACCCCCATCTAGAGTAGACCCTACAGTCCCACCTTACGTGGGTCCTTCCTTGTTGCGCCAACATGCTTGGTTGTTTTACAAAGAGAGCATGTCATGTTTTCTAGGTGTGACTGTCGCTTCGAAATTTCTAAAATCCACAGACAGAATCAAAAAGAACAAGGGAGAAACCTTCTCTGCTTCTCTTAGACCTAATAATCAGAAATACAAATGTCTAAAGGATTTTAGTTTCCAGTATTTTATTTCCATTTCTGTTCTTCTAACTCACTTACATGTTTATTTACTAAGTGAAGAATACATTCACTGCTAAATCCACATAGCGCTATACAATCCAAGCTATGAAATTTTCCGGATACATTTCCTTAGCTCAAAACATTTATTTGCCCTCCTAATTCATACTGCGTATATTATTGCAAACATTCAAAGGTAATAGACTTAATCTGTAAAATAAATAAATAACCAGTTGTCGGCAGGTTGATTCCGACTTACGGCGACCCTGTATGTGCCAAAGTAGAACTGTGTTCCGTTGAGTTTTCAATGCCTATGATCTTTTGGAAATAGATCACCAGGACTTTCTTCCAAGGTGTCTCTGGGTGGATTAGAACTGACAATCTTTCAGTTTAGTAGCTGAGCACTTCACCATCTGCACCACCAGGGATTCCTACTTAATCTATAGCTCAGAAAAAAATGAGGTTAAGGAGGAGTGGGGAAGTATATGACTATAGTTTCTAATATAAAATCCTTAGAAAGAGTTCTGTAATAATAATAGAAATTAATAGTTATGCACTTGTAAGTTGCCAGGCACATTGCTAGGACTTCTCACGTGTTAACTCATTTAATTCTCATAACAAACCTCTGAGATAGATTCTACTATTTTCCCATTTTACAGGTGAGGGAACTATGGCACAGAGAGGTTAAGAAATGTGTTCAAGGGACACATCTAGCATGTGGCAGAGCTGGGCAATCTGTCTCCAACCCATGCTCTTCATTGCCACACTGTGTTGTTGTTGTTAGTTGCTTGAGTCGATTCTGAGAGTAGAGTTTATGCAGAGTAGAACTGTGCTCCACAGGTTTTCAAAGCTGTGACCTTTCAGAAGCAGATTACCAGGTCTGCCTTCTGAGGTGCCTCTGGGTGGGTTGGAACCAACAACCTTTCATTTAGCAGTTGAGCACTTAACCGTTCACAACACCAGGGATTCCTTGTCATGCTCTACTACCTCTATAATAATGCAGATTAAAAAGTTCCACATTCTAGAAGAATCCTGATCAAAAGGGGGATATGCAGAACAGAATTTCAAATTCTCATGGACGTCAGACTTTCTGGAGCCATAGAGGTTGGATGAACCCCTGAAACTACAGCCCTGAGATAATCTTTAAACCTTAAACCAAAAATATCCCTTGAAATCTTCTTAAAACCAAACAATAGTTTAGCTTAACTAGAAAAAATGTCTGCTTTGAGCATTATGCTCTTTTAAGACCTATCTATATGGGATCAAACTGACAACAGCAACTAGAAAGATTAGATAGGAAACTTGGGGGGCAGTGAGTTTATGTTAATGGAGGAGGAACAATTCAGGAAAAGAGGGTGAGAATGGTTGTACAACTTGGAGAATGTAATCAATGTCGCTGAATTGTACATGTAAAAACCGTTGAACTGGTGTATGTTCTGTTTTGTATACTCTCAACAACAGCAACAAGAAATAACATAAATTATAAAAAAAAAATCCACCATTTTATGCAGCCTATTTCCTAGAAAATATTTAAATTTTGTTTTATTTTCCTTTATGTCCCTAATCACAATCCTTAGTGTGAAAGTCAGATTTAGGAGAAGAAAGGGCCAAGTTTTAGCCCATGTACTCTGAGTCCTCTCAGGCCGTACAAGACGGGTGGGAGATGGAGATGGGAGCAGTGGCTCAGGAAGGGGCAGGGGCTGACCGTGCGCAGAGATTAATGACCGTAGTACGATGGCACCTTGTATCTTTATAGCCTGCCTCATTAGCAAAGTACTTTCATATAATAAATTGCTCATCTTCACAAAAGATTTGTAAAGAGGTGTTATACCAACCTTACTCATCAGGAAGCTGGGACTCAACAGAGGATAAATGCTGGGAAAATAAACAGGAAGTGACTGAGCAAGGGCTCCAACACAGAAGATGTCTTCTGTTTATAACACCCACCAGCCATGTTTAGGAGTCCCTGGGTGGTGCACATGGTTAACGAACTTGGCTGCTAATCAAAACGGTGGAGGTTCGAGCCCACCCAGAGGCACCTCGGAAGAAAGTCCTGGTGATCTGCTTCTAAAAAATCAGCCATTGAAAGCCCTATGGATCACAGTTCTATTCTGACACACATGGGGTCGCCACGAGTCAGAGTTGACTTCACGGCAACTGGTTTGGATCCATGCTCAGTTTCAAGCCTAATAACAATAAAAACAAGCTGGTAAACTTAGACCTTGTCTCCCCGTCCCCCTTCGCCCCACAGAGTGCTTGGTTTGCACATCCTAGTGGGAGGGCTCCCTCCCCTCTCAAGAGTCTTCAGTTAATCAGACCAGGCGCAGGATCGCCTAAGTTCTCTAAACCAGCATTCCTTTTTAATATTCCCCACACATTTAATTTTCTTTACAGAAGAATGGTAAGTAATTTAGAAATTATCTTTGCCTGAGTTCCACTTCTGCTTTTGTGTTGGAAGCACATAGCCTGGTGCCCAGGACAAAGGCTCTTAGTAACTGTTCGTTCCCTCTCCCTTCTGTGGCGGCTGTCATCAGATGTAGTGTATTCTTCACTAACGGGCTGTTTGCCAACCTCTGGCGTTCTGTCAGCCCACCATCGTTTGGTTTTACAACAGTTCCACATGGCACCGCACATACTTACTTTGAAGATTATAGTAAATTAAATTTCCTTTCAGAATTTCATAACACCCCCTGACACAGGGGGGTGTTATAAAAGCTGGCGCAGAATCACTGGTCTGTAGCTAATGTGGTGATGAGAACAGAGTGGAAATGTGACAAGTTAACGCTGACTTGGAAGCATGAAGTTTAGAATGCACACTGATCTCCTTTTAGGACGACAAAGCATATCAGCAACTGTCAGTAATAGGCAACAAACTCAATAATATGGTTTTTTAAATTTGTCTTTATGAGTAAAATATCATTGTGGATTAAATGAAACAGAAAAATACAGTAGCTACTTGATCATTCTTATTTATACAGAAGAATCACCCGGGGATCTTATTAAACGTAGATTCTGATTCAGTATATCTGGGGTGGAAATGCAAATTCTCAGCAGGTGGTCGAACCAGAATGAACCGGTCTGAAGCCCTGGCCACAAGACAAGAAATGTGGGTGCCCTCTAGCAGACGGAAAAGGTAAGGAACTGATCTTCTCCTGGAGCCTCCAGAAAGGAACACAGCCCTGCCGGACCTTGATTTTAACCCAGTGAGATCTGTGTTGAACTTCTGACCTACTGAACTGTAAGACAACAATTTGGATTTGTGTGAGCCTCTACGATGGTGGCAGTTTGTTAGCTCCAGCTTCCTGAGGTATTGGCAAAAAGTTGTACGGAAACCCGCTCATTTTTTTTTTCCGGAGCAGGCTTCCCCGGCAGTGAATTTCTTAATTTTCACGTCTTTTATGAATAGAATTGTGTCCCCCAGAAACGTATGTTGAAATCCTAACTCCTGTGCCTACCTGTGAATGTGACCCTGTTTGGAAATTAGGATTTTTCTTTTGTTATGTTAATGAGGCCACGTTGAAGTACAGGGAGTCCTAGACCTAATCCCTTCTGAATGGTGTCTTATAAAAAGGGCAGACAGACACACACGGGAAAAAAGGCCACGTGAGGCGTCATCTACCAGCCACGAAATGCCAAGTAAGGCCCGGTAAACTGACAGGAAAGGACCCTCCCCTAGAGCCATGCCCTGATTTGGGCTTCTAACCTCCAAAACTGTGAGAGAATAAATTTCTGTCCTTTGAAAACACCCTCTTTGTGGTATTTTGTTACGGCAGTCAGATAAGAAGCGCTTGCTTCTTAAAAATCCTCTTAGTAGAGTTTGGTGGGAGCAGTGGAAAAGGGCAGTGCTCCACCAACAGGAGGACTTTTGGAGGAGGCCAGGCCTGTGGGCCATGCCCTGTCAGAGGACACAAGAGTGGACAGGTCCAGGCAGAGAACACAACCCAAGTGGTCAGATTTTCTCAGGACCACAACTCTCGCTGGTGCCGATGACCATCATACTCCCTGTTCCCCCGGCCCACGGTCCACAGCATCCCCTTCACTGACCCTTCCTGTCCCCAATCCTCAGCCTGCAGTGGTGGGTGCACTGTAAGCAAACCCAGGGCTGGGAAGTGGCCGTGACAGCCTGGTGCAGCTCTGAGGAGTCGAGGGTGCTGAAGAAATATTTTCGAGCAGCCCAGCACCGCCCAAGAGCGAAGCAGTTGCTTTCACTGATAGATTGACGATAGGTTTTAAGAGCCATCAAAAAAAATCAGTAGTGTCATGAAGTGACTTCCTCCCCGGGCCTTTTCTGTGGTGTTCCTGCAGACCGCGCACACTGAATGGGCTTTGCCATTTTTGTGAGCAACCGCTTTCGAAGCTCTAAATTATTTCCCTGTGAACTTACTGTGACTACGAATCATTAAGAGGCCTCCCCCGGCCCCTCCACTCACCACTCCACTGCCAGAGTGGTCTTTTCAAATCACAAATGTGAGCACGACAGCCCCTGCAGAAAACACTCCAGTGGGTTTCCAGGGCTCTGAAGATAAAGAACAGAATCCTAAACAGGCACTCCCAGGCCCCTCGCCTGCTCCAGCTTCCCCTCTCACCACCAGCCTCGCTCTCTGTGCCCCACCACAGGCATCTTTCAGCTTCTCAAAGGGACCTCATGCTTCTGGCCCTCAGGCTGACCAGGCGGGTCCCTCTGCCTGGGCATCCTACACTTCCCCAGTCTGGAGCCCAGCCTGGTCACTGCTTCCTCAGGGAGGTCCTTCCCCACTTCACTCTCCCTCAAGGCCAGGGGAAAGCACCTTATTATACCGCTCACAGCTCTGAGCACCTCTCATTTGCTTGGTATCAGCTGTCCACGGACCATTGCTGGAATTTTCCAGGAGTAATTTCCTGGTATTAATATCTGATGAACGTCCTGCTCTCGCACTAGACTGTGACCTACGTGACAGCAGGTTCCACATCAACTTTTCTCACCACTGTAACGCCCACGCCAGCCCGGGCACCAGGCCGGCTCTCAGTATTTGTGTGTGGAATGAAAGAATGAATACAATGGCTTGATGATGATCGTGTGGGCTTGAAACTGCACTCGTTTCTATAAAAACAGACGATTTTGCTTCTCGAGAAGTCAGTATTTCGCCCTGTCTGCCTCAGTCCAGATCAACAAATCAGCATTGGCTTGTTTGCGGATTTATTTGTGAGCGTAGGATGCTCCTGGCTTACTAATGAGCTGACTTGTTCGACACTCCCCAACCAGGGTTATCTTTTCAAATCACAGATCTGATCATATCAGCCCCGATCCTGTCTGCTTGAGGAGAGAGGCAGGCATTTTAAGAGAATAATTCTATCGTGGCAGAGGAATTTAAAATTTTTCTACTACAGCCAACTCATTGGCAGCTAACAATAATACATATTCATTGTACAAAATGTATAGGAAACAAAGAAGTATTAAAAAAAAAAAAAAAAAGTACTTCCTGAACATGTGAGTGTGGAATTGTGGTTAAGAGCTTGGCTGCTAACCAAAAGATCAGCAGTTCGAATCCACCAGCCGCTCCTTGGAAATCCTATGTGGCAGTTCTACTCTGTCCTATAGGGTCGCTATCGTATTGCCAGACGGATTGACTGAGTTCCCTCAACACCACAATGCACTCGTCCTTTATTACCTCGTCTGTGCACACTATGAGTCATCGGTTAGAAAACAATAAGGGCAGCAGCGAAGGGAGGCGTCTGTGCAGTTGGCCGTTCATTCCTTCATTAAACATTTCCTGAGCTTCCTGTCTCCTCTGGGCAGACCTGCCTATCCCACTCCCTGAGCGCATGGAACTTTCCCTCCACAGTACATGACCTTTTATGGGATGAAGCGGCCGACAGACACCAGAGATAACACTGGTGGAAACAGGACAACAGCAGTACCGAAGGTGTGCCCGCAGTCCTGGCCCTGCAGCGTTGAGTACTCCAGGCAGCCGGCTCTCTCTTCCAGGGGCGGGCAGGGCGCCCCGCCGTTCTGAGGCTCCTGCCGCACCCGGCGCCGCCGCACGCGGGCGGTGGGCTTGCACTGCTCCGCACAGCCGCTCCAGGGGCTCCACTCCCCCACGATGCACGGGCGAGCTGCAAAACAGCACGACAGGCCCTCACCTGAGTACACCAGCCACATGCCAGGAGCTCCCGCCAACATAAACAGTCAAGGTTAGCTTTGGTGGGGGCCCTTTATCAGGAGGAACACACAAAGCCTCAGCTGTCCCAGTTGACATTGGCCCTCCCACTCTGATGGTTAACTGCCGATCAGGTACCTCTTAGAGGCAGGCAGGTCTGTCTGAATCCTGAAGATGGGTATGAGCCAGAGACCCACCCTCCGGGGTACTTCCTCATACTCCCAGGGGCCAAAGCAGACCCCTTTGCTTTTCCTCCAACGTGGACTTTATTCTTTCCTGCCCATACATTTTCTTATTATAACAGTAATTCACATTCATTGTAGAAAACGTGAAGGAACAAAAGGAGTATAGAAAACAAAGAATATACTTCAAGCATCAATAATCCCATCACCTACCCAGGTCAAATATTAGCAGCAAGGGTGTCTCCATGAGATAGCTGGCTTAGGGCCACAGCAAGGACTCTCTATACTTTAGCTTCTTCTAGATGGTCTTTTCTCATCCTCCTGGCTCATAATTTAAAAAAAAAAAAAAAAAACCCACTGCCATCTCGTCGACCCCAACTCACAGGGACCTTATAGGACAGGGTAGAACTGCCCCACTGGGTTTCCAAGGAGCGACTGGTTCATTCGAACTGCCAACCTCTTGGTTAGCAGCCACAGCACTTAGCTACTGCGCCACCAGGACTCCTCCTGGCTCACAGACATAGAATATCAGAGATGGAGTTGAGGGATGAGCAACGAGGGCCCAGAGAGGTCAAGAGTCCTCATGGTCTCGCATGAAAAGGCAGAGTCATGCTGAGAATGTGGCCCTAGCATCTGGTTCTTTCTGTGCTCTGCTGGTCTACACATTAGCTAGTTCTCTGAGCCCAGCTGGCCTCTAGGGAGCCAGCCATGAGCTAGGCTGCCCCCTGGAGGCCAGCATTGTCTTCGGGCAAGCCAGAAGCTGTTCCCCTCATGGACTGTGAAGTTCACATACCAAATCTAAAGACGAAATTAAAAACTCAATTTCTTGGCCATGACTGTAAAATCAATGTGGGTTTGCATTTAACTTTCCGCTTAAAATCCTAATGAGTCTTTTAAAAGGACTGTAATGTATTTTTAAATTGAATTATTTCATGACTTGAGAATGGATATAAGAAGATGGGAAGAACAAGAAGGCAGAAGACATGCTTCTCAACTAGATGCCAAAAGTCTTTGTTTCTACAAAGTGGGACCCACTTTCCCTAACACCCTCACACTTTCAAGTTTATAGGGTTTCAACCAGAAAGCACCCTGACTTCTTGGAAACCTTGATTTGGACTTCTGACAGCTTATACCTGAAAACTTATTTTGCCTTTCAGCCCACTCTAGTTTAGGGCTCATGGCTTTTGGAAGAAGTGATATTTGGCAGCAAATACCTGCCCCTGATGTGAAAAGGGCCACAAACGATATAAACAGCTGTCAAGAATTCAAAAATGTTAATACTGTTTTAAAACATGCCTTCATTAATCATCTAAAAACCCATAGGTATCACATGTCGACTACCTACAGAAGTAATAACAGGCCACGTTAGAGTTCATTCCCAATATCCGCCATGTAGACATCCTTTGAAAAATCAATAGCAGATCACTTCCTGCTCTTCTCATCTCGTGTTGACCCCCCCTCCTTTATTTCAATGATCCCATGATTTAACTGGTCTGTAGAACTACAGGTATTGAAAAAGAGACCCCCCACCCCTGACTAGGAGCTGGATGAGAAGGCCTTCTGTCTTTATTTCTTTCAATGCGTCTCTTCCTCCCACAACCCCTCTTCATCCCTGAGTCTAGCTAGTTCTGCGCTGGTGTGTTACCAGTAACCAGTTGCCATCAGCTTGATTCTGACTTATGGCTACCCCACGTGTGTCACAGTGGAGCTGTGTTCTGTGGAGCCTTCAGTGGCTCATGTTTCAGAACAGATTGCCAGGCCTTTCTTCCAAGGCACCTCTGGATGGACTCAAACCTCTAAGCTTTTGGTTAACAACCAAGCACTTTAACCTTTTGTACCACCCAGATATATACTTATTTCAAAGATTAGCATTTGTGGAAGAGGCTGCACAGGCCAGCTCACTATTATTTACTCCCCATTGCTAACCGCCACATTGTCTCGTGATTTTTCCCTCCCATTCTAGTCTCTACAAAAAGGTTTAAGATTAACTGATGTTCCTTCCTGGAGGGTGGAAAACAAGTGATAATGATCTAAGAATGAAAAACCAAACAAAGCATCCATCTTGTGACAAGAAAAAGCAGGATGTCGCCAGATAATCCTCAAAGATGTCACCAGATAACCTCTAAGAATACCAGTAGAAGGTTAACTCATCTAAGATGTCATCACCTCAAGGGGAAACTACCACAAAAGATCCATAATCCTGTCCCTATAAAAGACTTCAGCCGATCTCCAGTGGGGGAGATGGGTTTTTTGGAGGAATCTCTTCCCCTCTGTCTCCTATATATCGATATATAATAAACATCTTGCTGCTCACCTCACCCGTCTCAGAATTGGCTATTGCGGCAGGCGGCTCCAATCCGTGTTATTGTGGTAACATTTGGACATCATTATCAATAAAATTTTGCCATGGCATTAGTTCAGAATTTAGTGATATGGCCTTTGGTTAGACTCTATCCATATGCTAAAAAAAAATGACATTTGGGGATAGTTTTCTAACTGGATTTATTCTCAGTATTTCTCCAACATCCATGTCTATGGATATTTATGTCATATCCAATGTTTGGTATGGTATTTAGTTTGGTTCCACAGTTGAAGCCCTCGACTTACGGAATCATTGAATCAATTGTTCCCACTGGTTAAGGTTTGTCCTTGGAAAAATGCTATTTCCTGTTTTTCCAATCCATGACTTTAAAATCCTCATAAAGAGATCCAGAAAGTTCCAGCATCTCGGTGACTTAATTGCCAGAACAACAGCATCTCGGTGACTTAATTGCCAGGCAAAATGAAAAAAAGTTCACATAAAATTATATGAATAAAAAGGTGTTCCACTAAATGTTTTGTGTTGGAAGATTTATCTGAAATGTTTCTTCCTATTCTGCACAGAAGATTCTATTCTTGCCTCATTTGTGAACTTTTGATTATTTAGATTGCAATTCATCGTAGATCACAAGAGGCCTTTGGTCACGAAGGTTAGGGGAAGTGCCAGCGACTTCTGACTGATTTATTACCTCAAGTCATGTATCACAGCTGCATGACACGAATTTCCTTTCGAACGGTGCCATTGGTATTCTTGTCCCCTGTCCCATTAAAGCTCTTTCTGTTCAATCTAATTCAAATCTATATACAGCATATCAAAATATTCTTTCTTACAATCTGTCTTCCTCACTCTTCACTTTTTAGTTTCACTAGTTATTAATGGAGCCTGACAGACTGTTACCTAGTGAACAGCATGATCTCTTCTGAGTCCCATCTTGTCACAGCCTCCCGATTTCTTCATAATCAGTCAGGATCTGATGACATCACCCCACCCCCTTTAGGGGAACGAAGCCTAGACTGAATCACAGCCAGGAAGTTCAGTGAGCTCTTTCTTTTCTTTTTGTTTAGACGCAACCTAATATTCATGTTGTCTCGGTGGTGCAAATGGTTAAGCAGTGGGTTACACAAGATAGGTGGTTTCAATCCACCCAGAAGTGCCTAGGAAGAAAGGCCTGGTGACCTGCTCCCGAAAGGTCACCACCATTGAAAATTCTATGGAGTAGTTCTACTCTACACCACTTGGGGTCACCGTGAGTCAGAACTGACTCAACAGAAACTGATTTCATTTTTTTTTTTGAACATTTTATTGGGCTTTAGGTGAAAGTTTACACAGCAAATCAGTTTTCACTCAATAATTCATACACAGATTGTTCCATGACAGTGGTTGCAATCCCTACCATGTGTCAGCACACTCCTCATTTCCACCCTGGGTTCCTCGTTTCCAATTCATCCAGTTTCCTTGCCTCTCCCTGCCTTCTCATCTTTGCTTTTGGGCAAATGTTGCCCTTTAGACCTCATATAGTTGATTGTTCTAAGGAGCACATTCCTCACGAGTGTTAGTGTTTATTGTATAGGAAAGTCTATTATTTGGCTGAAAGGTGGCCTCCGGGAGTGGCTTCATTCCCAAGTTAGAAGGGTGTCCTAGGGCGATAGTTTCGGGATTTCCGCTGGTCTCTATCAGACCAGTAAGTCTGGTCTCTTTCATGAGTTTGAATTTTGTTCTACATTTTTCACCCATTCTAACCGGGACCTTCTTTTCTGTTCCTGTTCAGAACTGTTAGTGGTAGCCAGGCACCATCTAGTTCTTCTGGTCTCAAGCTAGAGGAGGCTGTGGTTCATATCGGCCGTTAGTCTTTTGGATTAATTGCTTCCTTGAGTCTTTGGTTTTCTTCACTCTCCTTTGCGCCACACAGGAAGAGACCAATAGTTTATCTTAGCTGGCTGCTCACAAGCTTTTAAGACCCCAGACACTACTTAGCAAACTAGGATGTAGAACATTATCTTTATGAACTATGTTATGCCAATTGACCTAGATGTCCCCCAAGACTATTGTCCTTAGCTTTCAAGCCGAGTAGCTCAGTTCAGCTTAGTTCCACAACGTGTTTGGTTATATCTAAGAAGTTGCCATACCTGTGCCCCTACGTGCTCTATTACATATATGAATATACATGTAGCACATACAAATATGTATGTAGAAATATCCACATATGCATGCAGGTGTACTCCCACACGGCCTCCCTCACTTATTTAGCATACATACCTACCTAAGTATCCCCTCACAAATTATTCTGTGTTATTACTATTGTTGCAGGATTGTGTATGATATAGCATACAGTACTTGCTTTTTATTCTTGTGTACCTCTCAGTGTCCTCCTTTGCCTTGGTCATGTTGTGCTGACTTCCCCCATATAGTGTGTGGCCTTTCCCTTCACCGGTTTTAACACGCATCTACTGTCTA